TACATCTGACATCGCACGTGTACGTCTTTTAGATATGAACGTCGATTACATACGTTCGTCAGTTGAGTTTCATACTGCAAAAGGATGGCTTCACACTGCGTATTTGTAACATTTATTTGTGAATTTTTCTTAAAATGGCTCCACGTAAGCATGTTACATTAAAATTACAGGATAAGTTAGAAGTTATAAAGTTAATTAACAAAGGGACCAGCTACAGTGCTATCTCAAGACAATTTGGGATAGGTGTATCTACCATCAGTGATATTAAAAAGAACAAGGAAAAAATAAAGAAGTTTGTCATTGAAATGGAAAATTGTCTAGGTAAGCGTAAAACGTTGAAACAACCAGACAATCCAAATGTTTATAGTGTGGTTTTTATGTGGTTTATTCAACAAAGACGTTTACACGTTCCAGTGTGTGTTGAAATGATTTGTGAAAAAGCACAATCTTTTCACCACCAATTCTCAAAAATAACCATACTTTTAATGCATGCAAAGGTTAGTTAGACAACTTAAAAAAGCGTCATGGGATAAGGCGTCTCAACATTTCTGGTGTAAAACTTTCGAGTGTAGTAGASTGCATCAAACCGTTCTAAAAGACTTTGAACAACTTATCATACAAAAAAAATTTAAGGCACAAAAAATTACAATGCCRACGAATCTGGATTGTTTTGGCGAATGTTGCCTGACCACAMTTTAGTGTCATCTACAGAAAAAGTCGCTCCCGGTAGAAAGATTATGATAGAAAGAGTCATTTTTATGCCTTACGCTAATTCGACAGGCAACCATAAACGTGGGTAACAAGAGATTTATTTTTAAATTGGTTCAACAATGAATTTGTTCCTAGCGTACGTCGTCATCTTTCTTCAATCAATTTTCCTATGGAAGCTGTACTACTATTGGATAACTTCCCAGCTCCCAGGTCACCAATCTGTAGATGAACTTCGCAGTGAAGATGGAAAAAATTTTGCGATGTTTCTTCCACCAAATACAACTGAATGATATCCAAAATATAAAATTGAATTACCGAAAAACTTTACTTACGAATTTTTTGGCAGATGAAGAAAACGGAATGGACTTGGTAGCAGCTTTGAAAAAAATCAATCTTAAAGATTTCATATTTAACTTGGCTAATTGTTGGTTATTTTTCTCGTGGCATCTTATTAAAATTTCATAGAAAAATTTTAGTCCACAACTGGTGGATATGAACAAAACCACTGAAGTTCAGGAGGGAAACATTATTCTTACTCCACTTTTAAACAAGTTGGCTCCAAACACAGCCATCACAGAGGATGAAATTCAACAGTGGGCATCAGGGGACTACGATGAAGAGATACAGTACCAGGAAATTTTAACTGATGATGAAATCATGCATGCCGTGACCAAAGAAGATATTGAGAAGGAAGAACATGATGAATTTTTCACTCTTTCAAAATATCTTCTTCAGATGACACAAAAGCGTTAAATAGGGTCATACAGTTGGCTGAACAAAACGATGAAAGCTGCGTAGAACTAATGTTGCTTAGACGTTTGCGGCACAAGACATACCAATAAATAATAGAAGCCAGTGTATAAAAAAAAAAATCAATATTTTAAATAGTACCTAAGGTTCATAATTTTATTATATTAATATTTTTATATTTTCATTGTTATTTTATATGTTGTATACTTTATATATTCTTTTGAAATTACCAGTTTTTACACGATTGATACGGATAAAAATAAAATTTCATAATTTAAATTACAATAAAATTTATGTTTTTTTTTTTTAAGCCATAGGTAATCCGAACAAATCGCTAATTCGAACGACCCCTTTTCCCAATCTCGTTCGGATTATTGAGTCCCTATTGGGCCTATTGTATATTATTTTATGTTTTATCTAATAAGAAAAACGGTCTTGTAACAGGTATATGTGGTTTGTTTTATCTAGAAAGTGTATTATGATAATTAACTACCTACCTATGTTCGCGCATGTTATTATCAGTTGTTATCGTGTTGTCGATGATTACGAACACCCCCCCCCCCTTGATCGAGAGATCAAGCGCCGTCAGTTCAGCTGGAACATACGGCGTCCGGCAAGTCTGCGTTGGTACGGACACACTGGTCGTTGTTGTTACGCTCCCGCTCGTGAGAGTCGTCCGTTGTTGTAATCTTTTACTTCTTTTTTGTGCAAAACAAAAACCACGTGAGTTCCTTCACGTTTTTGCCGTTTGGTTATTTGTCATGCAACGGATGATATCGACGGTCAGTTTTGACCCTGATTACATCCAGTTTCGGCTTCATGTGTATTGATTTTGGTGACCAGTTCTGGCTCAGTCAGTTTTGACATCAATATTGTATTGCCACCAGTTCTGGTGCCATACATCATCCATCGTTCGTCTCGTCGTCGGCAGTTCCAGCCCAACGAAGAAAGGTGGTCTGAATTCTCATCATTCCTTACGGTATTGTTCCTTAAATTTTATATTTATATTTTGATGTTATTATATAATATGTCAAAGTGCCAGTTAGGCAATTATTTGTATTTGGTATTTGCATTTATATGAATATGGCCTCTTGTATATTATAACTTATATGGTGTAATTTATTTATTTATATATATATATTATTTTGTATACCCTATCCATCCCTTCAGAGCACGAGTCATCGCCGTCCACGAGCCAAGCAAGGTAAGTCCGGCGTTGGCGAAACAACCTATATACTAATCTTTTTATCTTATCTGATGGACAAAATTGTGTTAAAATACACGCTATTTACGAGTATAAAATAATAATCTTATTCATTATATATTAACATATTATAATTTATAGCAAAAATACTATTTAACAAAATTGTTGACATTAAAATCTTGAATTCAATGCAAGATTTAAATTATCTGTTTTTATCTAGATAAATATTATAAGTACCCTGATTTGACATGGCACTTGACCTCGGTCACAAACATGTTCTGAGGTCAAGCATCATCGGTATCGCTATACGAGTACTCTAATTCAAAACAGAAAATACGATCCAGCGACTGCTGGTTTTCGTCCAGTGTTTTCATTTAATACCCATCTGGCATATATATTTCAATGCCTACAAATAAACTTTAGCATGTACCGAAATAAAGCTCTGTGGAACGGAAAAATGAAGGTCCGTGTCATAGAAACTGTCTTTTCTCTTTTGAAATAAAGCATAGTTCCTAGATGGGTGATCAACTGACTATCCAGTTTTTAGTGATAAATCTTCGCAATATATTTACGAGTTCTAACCGACCATACCCTACCTCAAAGTTGAAAAACTACAAAATAAAATAATCAGTCAAATGTTCATAGATCCTTAACCCAAATAAAAATATATATTTAAGTGTTATATCGTTATCTAGATATGTTTTGRGTGATTATTGCACAATACTGCCAGGTATACAGGTAGGTACCTATATATTAAATACAAAATTACGGATCGACGATACGGTTAATAGATTCATTCTTGGAAGATTGTTCGTACAGAGAGGAATGACTATGAATTACCAGTACGTCACGGACATTAGAACTTATGAAATAAAGCCGAGAGAGAATAATAGGAATCTATAATCAATTATATGAATCTTTCATTTAATTTTCTACGAATATCGTGAATCATAGATGTATGAAAATCAACATGTCACACGATATTTAATACTTTCTAGGATTTAATATTATTCTAAATGTTTTTAAAATGTAAATACAGTAGAATTAGTGTAGGACATAATACTTGAAACTTCTTAATATTTTTTTTTTTTTTTATATAGGTACAAAAATAAAATTAAAATAATTTGAAAAAAAAATTCTTATTAAGTTAATTGTGTTTATAACGAACGGAAATCTTGGGATTAAAAAAAAATTGAAATTGAAGAAAATTATTTGAGCAAAACATTTTATTATGTAGTACAATATTGTCAAGACACTTTTTTTGATAAAAAATGAAAAAAAATCTTCGAGGGACAGCTCAACACATTGTATGTAATTAATATTCTGTTACCATTTATTTATATCTTAATAATACGTCGTTGTCATCACATTAGACTATACTATACGAATTACATTAACAGGACGCTACACCTGCATATGTTGTCTCCGTCTTACAAGTCCGTAACATAGCAAATTTTATGCTCAGCAGATCACGTTTAGCTCCGTTAGTTTAAAATTTAGAGTAAATTGACCTCTTACAAAAATTAAAGGTAACATTATTATCGAGGACATGACGTAGGCTTTTTATTATATTTTAATTTTAAAGTGAGTTATGTGTATTTTAAAATTTAAAATTGTTTGTATATCTTAAAATACACATAACTCACTTTAAAATTAAAATATAATAAAAAGCCTACGTCATGCCCTCGATAATAATGTTACCTTTAATTTTTATAAGAGGTCAATTTACTCTAAATTTTAAACTAACTGAGCTAAACGTGATATGCTGAGCATAAAATTTGCTATGTTACGCACTTGTAAGACGGAGACAATGTATGCGGGTGTAGCGTCCTCTTATGCAACGAATTTTATGATTTATTCACACAAAATATTTCAATGTGAATATTTCATATCAWAAATATATTAAATTAAATTTATAATTTAATTACGCAACTATTATTATAGTTGGTAATATTTATATTCGTATATATGTAGAGAAATTTGATATTATAGTATAGGCCAGTGGTGTCAAACCTACGGCCTGCGAGCGAACTCCAGCTCGACATTATTTATGTTTTGGACCGAAAAAATATTTTACACGGTCACCACTGGCATAAACTATAAAGGTAACTACATGTTTTTTTCCAATTTTCGTTAAAACGTTTTGAAATGTTTTTATGTCCTACTGCGTATAATATGAATAAAGATCTTCTAATCCGTACATGCACTCGTATGATCGTCGAGTAATCTAATATTATTATTATTTATCATTAATGTTAATATTATTATTATTATTATTGTTATTATTATTATTATTGTAATTATTAAAATTGTCACCATCGCCACGTTTACTTACCCGACCATTATAATTAGACACAAAATGATGGGTACGGTAACTTCTTGTGTGTCATTGAAGCTTAACGAGGAACTTCCATCGGTCGTGCCCTCGTCGTCGCTCTCTTCGCCCTCGGTGAGTACGCCGGTGTTCAGTTTGAAGTCTCGCATATCCATCTGTAAGATATTGTTATTATTATTATTATTATTATTATTATTATTATTATTATTACTATAACGACGGTATACAAAAACGATGGCCTCAACAAATAAACTGCGGTGCAGGTTATGTCACCAGGGCTTTGAAAGAAAAATCATTCCAAATCCTAACTGTACTCCAAGAATGTGTGCAGGTATTGTTTATAGTGGCGTAAGACAAATGATATAAATTATAATAAAAATGCAGAATGATTATTATGATTATGATACAAGAAAAAATACCTATAGTTTTCTCTGGAGTTGATTTTTATTTCCACGCATATTATATTGTGATTTAAACTGGTCTACGTTTTTACAAACACAAAGAAAATATCATGCGATCGATATTTGAATATGGTTTTTCCGGCAAAATATTCTGTATTATATTATTATTATGTTCGGATACTTCAAAACATTTTTTTTTACAAAATCGCAAACGTCGACCTTGTTCCAAATAACGACTGCTTTTGCGTACAAAACAAAAATAATAATAATAACCAAGTGGCTAGTATAATATCACGATGCAGGTACTACWCAACGGGGAAAAGAGACCTAACCACCCTTCACCCTGGCCTCTGCATAGCCCACTATTCGTTTTAAGATTAAGTACCGTTCGCGTGAATGCGATACATCAATGTCATTTTTGATTTACTATCGACAGTAGCCGCCGCTGCCACCGCCTGTGTATTATATTAATATTTATTATTATTTTCATGATATTTTACGTATATTGATATGATTATATATTATGTGGCATTGCTCTGTCTCTATATTGTTATAAAAATATAAGTACCTTAAACTGTTCCTTCCGCTGAATGGCCAACATTCGTTTCCGGCGTTTCTTGCAGTTTCGGCAAAGGCAGCATTTCGCGTATATCCACTTGAAGCTCTTGGCCAGTATGTCGCCGATGTTGGACAGGTACAGCAAGAATAACGGCATGCCCATAATTGCGTACAATATGGTCGCCAGTTTTCCCAGCAACGTCCTAGGAGTGACGTTTCCATAGCCTGCAAACACGTCGTAAATTTCGATTGATTAATTGCCAATAATAATTAGATAATGTAAGAAAACAATAATATTGCGTACATGTTTTTCGTTGTTTTTGAATAAACGCACTCATGAAGTGTTTAGTGTTGGGCTGTGGTTGACATTTATACTCATTGCGCTAAGTTCAATCATACTTACAATGTTTTACAATTGTACAAAGATAACTAGATAAGATACAATACAATATAGAGAAAAATGACGATATTTATCTAGGTAAATAGTGGGTGATTTAAAGTTTGCATCTGTAAAATAGCGTTTCTGTTTTAAATATGATAATATATTTTTTATCGTATATGCATACGTTTCAATTTTTACAATCGTTAATATAATATTTAAATAGTATTTATTAATTAATTTATTTATTAATAGTAGTTTGAAATGCGATTATCTATCAGTGTTAATATATAGATAACCAACTGGTATCTAGTACAAAATAATTAAGTAGTAAAACACACGTGACAAATATACATAAAATAACAAAAATAATTTGAAAATAGAATCGAATAGATAAATAGTTTTGATTAATACATATTTTAAGAACCCTCATACAAAAATTGAAAAAATATCTAGATTATTTATCTCATAACTGCAAATAATCAATTTATTTAAATTGCAGGCAGATAAAAGATGAAAATGTTTATCTAAATAATGCACAACACTTTACCACTCTATAGCTAGCCACAATATGATTGAATTTATTTATATGCAAATTTTATAGCAACACTGATATTATGGAAATACATATTATAATTACAAATGGCTAAATTATTTTTCTCTTTAAAATTCTGTGACAGACGGGAATAGTTTAGACCCAATATATAATATTCGGCATGCCACTGGTACGGACTTCTGGCCACGATGACATTTTTGAAGCGTTGAAAGCCTATATTATATTTAAAAAGTCAACAGCGGACATAGTGGCAGACAGTGATAATGGTGAGATATTTACATAATATTTGTATACAGAGCTGATCTAGCCACCATATACTAAAAATAATATGACATAATATAAATAATACGTTCCATAATATAATGATGTTATGATAAACGTATATATAATAATAATACTTACTAATGGCCAGATTTTAATAAAAAAAAATAGAATAAAATTTAAATTTATTTTTATTTCGTCGATAACGACGTATCATGGGAGCGAAAGATTCATGCGTTATTCTATTGTAACGACTCACATTGTGACACATAATATTATTATGTAGGCCGTAGGGTCAATCGTGGAAAGGTGTGAACATTTTGAAGAGTTTTGCACGTTTAGTTATGGTAGAGAATTATAAACAATATTATATGATATATTATATGATATATTATGGTCCATGATACTAGTATTATACGTGAGTACATCTATTGTATTTGACAACGAATTGTGCCTGTTATATGGATGCAAGTGAATTATTATAATAATACGCGATATCGATATTTTATAATACCTGCAGCCTCCAAAAAATCTCACCATCCAGTAGTTTTTTTCCTTCGGCACATTTTTTTCTGACTACAAAATATATATTATATATATTTATTTTTTAGATATTAAATACGTTTTGTATTATCCACGTAGAACGTAATATATACTCAATTACCGTAAGTTTGGTTTGGTTTATTACGATAACTCAGAAATGTAGAATTGATTAATATGATTATATATGTTTTTACATAACTGTATGATACATAGTGTTACCAATTCGTTTGGATTATATTAATTTGTTGGGTTGTTGTATATGAGGTGAAATACAGCCAGTAAGTAAGACACTCGGTATCGTAACGTGTTTAATAAACTGTACTGCTGTGAAGTAATATTTTTTTTAAATGGTATATTATACTGATTCATTGATAAATAGTGTTAGGAATAAAACATTGAAAAGTATAAAAGTAATGAGATAAATTTAAGTTTTATTTTTAATTTCAGGCATAATCTGATAGACTTGTTTTTTATTAATTATAGGTAGGTATATAAAATGTTCATAACAAAAGTCTAAATATGCAAAGAAAAATTACAAAATTTATGAAATTTGCATTCATTTTCAAAATTMTTTAAAAGACTCGATACTCCTAAAAAAATAAATGACTTAAAGCTTTTTCTATGAATTCTTTATAAAACAGAATTTTCAACATTTCTTATTCCTATCAAGCAACATAGTTAGGTAATTTCAAAAAGACAAAAAAATTAAAAATTAAAATGTACATCACTTTAAACTTAAGTTATAACTTATAACATAATATTTCAAGATTTGTGGAAGACAAGAATATTAAATATTGGCTTACAATTGAATAATTTATTTAATATTATAAAATATTTTATTTTTTTATTTACTAATTACTAGGGCTCAGATTTTAAAGCATAATAAATAAAATAAAAGCAAAAATGAAGCATATTTATTAAAAATTAAATTAAAAATAAAGCATGACCAAAAATTAACATGAATTAGTTGTAAAACTGATTTAAAAAAATTTAATAATTAATTTAAATGAAAAAAAAGAATTTACTATCATATTATATTTGGCAAGATTTTCAGAAGTGAAACTGATTCTATTGTCTGACATAATATTTTATACATATAGAAAACCATGCAAATAATCATTTAATCCGTACTGCGTATTCTGGATTTTCTTATTATTAAATAATTTTTTTTTTTTACCACTATAGCATAATAAACATAATATAATATTTAAAATAACCAAAAAAAGCAAAAAAGCATTTACACAAAAAAAGCCAAAATAAATTGGTTTATTTGGAATGAGAATGACGTGAAACGGATTTATGTATAAAAATTAAATTTTTATCTTATATATATAAAAAGCATTTTCTTTAAAATACTAGCCTACTAATTACCTATTTTTTAATCCATAGAAGTGCCTATTTTAAATATATTTTCTCATAACAAAAGACTAAAATTTCGTGATATAAAACTTTCAGAAACTATTATGCCGCTGTAGCACATAATATATAAATTAAATTTAGTAATAAATTGAAAATAACAAAACGATCCATGTCTTGAAACTCACAACACATATTATCTGCCACCCCACTCGAAGGCTCAAGTCATTCGTTTTATTCCCTATTACAACATAAATCAATATTATCTAACAGCATATAAGTGCAAAGTGGGCCAATGAATCGTTGTGTATATTTGTCAACCCTGAGGCGTTGGTGTCAGCGTAAATGTTTATTGTCGTCTTATACATATTGTTTTACATAATCATATAATGTAACACAATAGCTTTGATTATTAATTTCAAACGGAAAACAAAAGAAAAGTATAAAAACCATCGTTAATATCGAGTCACGTTCAATTACGACAACAACGATGACGTGGGACGTTGCGATTGAGAAAAAGAAAAACATTGACGACTGACGAGATTGAATTATACGGACACAACGAAGCCCCATCTAATAAAGACGTTTCGATCCATGCTCGGTGTTAACAGAGTCGCGTTGTTTATTTTATATTTATGTATACATACTATTATAAGGGCATCGTGATGAATTATTATTATTGCGCGATGTACGCGAATTGTTTAAACAAATATTCTCATTAGCTGGTCTCGCCCCATTGTATTTTACCAATTTACGTATATAAATAATAACGTGATCGTGAATATAGTTCGTTATGATATATTATAGACGGCGTTTCAGGCAATGGAATCTAATAAATCATGTTCTGGCTCGTTGAGATTAAAAAAAAAAAAAATGATTAATTTTTAATTTATTTTCCTTTGTGCAATTTAAATTATTTGCTTTAACTCTCGTCGGTGGTGTTGCGCGGTTACATAATTAATCCAACTTTGTGAATTTGTTAGCACCGTGGCTCGAGCGATTTTTCACCAATGCAATCTCCGTTAAACGTAGAAATAAAATTCACATTAAAATACGATAACCGTTACAAAATAATAAACCTTATTTGGTAATATACGATTAGTGATCCGTGTATTGTACGACAATACTTTTATTGAATTATGGTCACATTAGGACTCACTCCCTAACGTGTGTTTAAAMGCTCGTAAAAGGCATGACATAACTAAACTTATGCATAATATTGTGTTTTATTGCTATTGCCAGTTCTTCTTATTTTCCGGTTTAAATCTAAAATCTAACGTATATGTATGCCTGCTGCAATTTAAAGCCATCGATAAATCACCGCGAATCGTTTGAACGATACGTTTTTTCCGCCATATTACCGCAAATATTACAATATTATTCGCATGATAATTATATTAAACTAATATCAACATAGCAATATTCAAGAACTTCAAATTATCCATAATCCTCCATCAATGAATAGTACCCTCAATTAATCGTTATCGGTGTATGATCGAATCTATTCCACTCGAACGACTTTTTTAATCCGTWAACTACTGCTACAACTATTTATCGAAGTCCAACTAACAACCGTACCTATATGTATAACATCATAGCAACTTAACTTTACTGAAAAGTTTTTCAGTGGCCGTTCTGTGATCTATAGAAAAACGGAAATTCTGCAGATAGTAATATAATGTTTGTCAATTTGAATTTTATCTTTTTTCCGAGTGAATTTAGGGTGTTTGAAAAAATCCAAAAGTCAAAATGAAAAAAAAAAGTCGTAACGAGAATGCGAGAAGTCCAACGTAATATCAATATATGAATATTGTTATACCTAATTGAACTTGAATACACAGCTGCATTGTAATAAATTATATCATTATTTAAAAATTATGTTCCTAAATTGCCTATACATCACACCGTGCTACTCGATGTATTATTATTAATATTATTTTGTCATTACGTTTCAAAGTATAATATGGAACCGAACAGGATGCTACATGTAATACAGATGTTTGGACTAGTATTGTTATTTACTTATCTCGGTACAGGACTTGTTTATAGTATTTTATGAAGTTCAATATCAAATGAAATAATTATAAATAGTAAATTTCACACATATTCGAGGTCCTTAACGTATCGTGC